CAGTTGAGAGGCGGGACCAAAGAGCCAGAGTTCAACCCCCGCAAGCACAACTAGGTGTGTACAGTCATCTTTAGAAGCAGCACTAACAACAGTAGAAACGACGATAACAAGGATACTAATAGCAGCAAAGAACGACAAAAACAAACAGCGGCAGCATTACAAAAATCCCGCATCATAGAATCAAGACAATCTTCAAAGAACAAAAATTCTTCACTCTCCGTGTTTCCTTGGACAAATAAGACGTTGGCCTTCGTTAGGTAGGCTAGTGCTGGCGGGCAACATTAACATACAGAATTATGGATACCAGCGACTGTCACCCAAGCTCTCCCCTCTCTCTCTCTCTCTCTCTCTCTCTCTCTCTCTCTCTCTCTCTCATATGAGTTCCTTCGGGGTATGCCTTCCTGACCACGTCGGGGTTCTCTATCAGCAAGTTTTTATGCTTCTTTCTCTCATAAAATTCTCGAGGTTACTCTCTACACTTTCTCAGAAGAGGGTGCCAGCGTGAGAGTTTTTCACAGCTCTTCTCGGAGGTTTCTCGGCTCTTGATCATTTTGTTTTATCATTTAGTAATTTTCTCTCTGAAAAATCTCCCAGCCGACTCTCAGCTCTATCAAGAGTTAATTTCGAGTTTCTGGTTCATTCGCAAACCTAGATCACAAGTTACCTAAGTTAAGATTCGTTCCCTCAGATGTATATATTTTCTGTTAGGCGAACTGAGGCATCAGGTGAAAGGAAACGTTGCCCAAACGCATCTAACTTGCCTGTGAGAATTTAACTTGGGATATTTCTTCAGTGACCCGTCTACGCTTACCATTGCATCACAAGAAAAATCTTAAGGCTCTCTTGAGTTTCTTTCTCAGATCCAAGCCTTCATATTTACGCATTTTCTTTTCACTTGAAAATTTCCAGTTTCATATATATATACCTTTAAATATCTAATAAAGCACAACGAAACACGAAAGGAAGGAGGTGGTAGGAGAAAAGAACATAGAAACTGTATTGGAGGGGACCTAAACATTCCTTCTAATGTGTTATGTGTGCTTTCCTCCGAGGCTAAGGGTTCCCTTTCTTCCAGCCAGAGGTGGTACTCTCTCTCTCTCTCTCTCTCTCTCTCTCTCTCTCTCTCTCTCTCTCTCTCTCTCTCTCTCTCTCTCTCTCTCTCTCTCTCTCTCTCTCTCTCTCTCTCTCTATATATATATATATATATATATATATATATATATATATATATATATATATATATATATATATATATCTTCAGACCCTTCTGAAGATGTATTATCAAATACGAAAGTACTTAAGGAAAATCCTGTTTCAATTCTTCCTCCGTTGTCTGACACTGTCACATTTTTCATCACGTTAATTTTCGTGATTTAAACACATATATATAATATTGTCTGTTTTTCTTTGGCGTTGCTGAGTTATGAGGACGGGGTCAAGGAACGGTCCCCAATTACTTTGAGAGACCATCGGGAATCGAACGTCAACCCTACAAAAAGCGCGACGTCTATCATACCTACTAATTCAACTATATAAAGCTGAAGAATCCCCGTCTGATGAAAAAGATAACGCGATTCACAGACCTCGAGAAGACAAATGTAGATACATTTGTATTCTATAGAAATAGATACTATTAATTTATTTCCAACAAAAACATAGAGTTGCGGAATTGTATTTTATTTATTCTCATTTGTATGGTGAATTTATTCATTTATTGTATTAAGATTCCGTGTTAGATATACAAACGTCCATCACTTAATGCAAAACATTTAACTTGCAAAATAGCATCTATTAATTGACATACAAACTAGCTATATATCTTTATTAGTAGATACTTAGAAACATGTATTAATATATGAGTTAAGGGGCAGATATAATTGTGGCAGGTACCAAGGGAATTTTTTATTATTATTGAGAAGGTATATAGAAACAATATACTGGAGAGTTGTGGGAGCCTGACACAACCCTTGTAGTTTCGCCGAGTTGTAACAACCCAATCAGAGAGAAGAAGGACTTGCATATCTTCCTCCCCAGTTCGAATTCGAACAATTCTGAAGAATTCGGTTTATACTTTAATGTTATTATTCGTATCCGAGACAAATACCTTCGAATAAACAAAGACAGAAATGAAAATATTAGAACATCGGCTTGAACCAGCGCCATGATTTACACCAGACGGCCGCCATACCCCCTTGACCACATGTGGTGGCCTATAGGGTTATGGCACGCGTATGTTGTTAACCAGGACGCTGGTTCGACTCCCGTACTGATCCAGTGAGTTTCTCATAAATAGCGTCATTGTGTAATTTAAAATATTTGTAAAATATAAAATCTCTGAATTTTACACAAAATAAAAATAGATGAGTCGAGTGGAGCGAAATGGAATAAGAGCATTAATGAAAACAAAGGAGAATTTTGCAAGGGAAATGAAGCAATAAACTGGTATGGGACCAGAGAGAATGGGACTTGTATTCATGGAATCGGTTGTTAGGAGGATAGGTGGTGTGGTTGATGGGAAGGGTGGTGTGGTTGATGGGAAGGGTGGTGTGGTTGATGGGAAGGGTGGTGTAGTTGATGGGAAGGGTGGTGTGGTTGATGGGAAGGGTGGTGTGGTTGATGGGAAGGGTGGTGTGGTTGATGGGAAGGGTGGTGTGGTTGATGGGAAGGGTGGTGTGGTTGATGGGAAGGGTTGTGTGGTTGATGGGAAGGGTGGTGTGGTTGATGGGAAGGGTGGTGTGGTTGATGGGAAGGGTGGTGTGGTTGATGGGAAGGGTGGTGTGGTTGATGGAAAGGGTGATGTGGTTGATGGGAAGGGTTGCGTGGTTGATGAGCGGAGGTTAGTGTAGTTGTTGGGAGGAGGTTGGCGTGATTGACAGTAGAGGTAACGTGATTGATGGGAGGGGTAGAGTGGGTGATGGGGAGAGGAGTAGTCTGGTTGATGGGGAACGGGGTTGTGGGATTGATGGAGTAGATTATTTCATTGATAGGGGAGGCGGAACTGGTGATGTTGTTCTGTTGTTCATGTGTTACCGTGAAATCACTTAGTTGTACTCACCTAGTTGTGCTTGCGGGGGCTGAGCTTCGGCTCTTTGGTCCCGCCTCTCAACTGTCAGTCAACTGGTGTACAGATTATTGAGCCTACTGGCCCTCTATCATATCTACATTTGAAACTGTGTATGGAGTCAGCCTCCACCAGATCACTGCCTAATGCATTCCATCTGTTAACTACCCTGAGACTGAAAAAATTCTTTCTAACGTCTCTGTGGCTCATTTGGGTACTAAGTTTCAACCTGTGTCCCCTTGTTCGTGTTCCACCCGTACTAAAGAGTTTGTCTTTGTCCACACTGTCAATTCCCCTGAGAATTTTGTAAGTGGTTATCATGTCTCCCCTTACTCTTCTGTTTTCCAGGACGTGAGGTTTAACTCCCTTAGCCTTTCCTCGTAGCTCATACCTCTCAGTTCTGGTACTAGTCTGGTGGCATTTCTCTGAATCTTCTTAAAACTTTGTCTTGTGTTTAACTGGGTATGGACTCCAGGCTGGAGCTGCATATTCCAGGATTGGTTTGACATAAGTGGTATACAAGGTCATGAACGATTCCTTACACAAGTTTCTAAAGGCAGTTCTTATGTTGGCAAATCTAGCATATGCCGCTGATGATATGCTTTTGATATGGGCCTCTGGGGACAGGTTCGGTGTGATATCAACCTCCAGATCTTTCTCTCTATTTGACTCTTGCAGGATTTCACCTCCCACATGGTACCTTATGTTCAGCCTTCTGCTCTCTTCGCCTAATTTCATTATTTTACACTTTCCTGAGTTGAACTTTAGTAGCCATTTTTTTTACCATTCCTCCAGTTTGTCCAGGCCGCCCTGTAGTCTCTGTCTATCTAGTGTGGACGAGTCTCTGGATTAGTGTGGGTGTAGTCTGTCTAGTGTGGATGAAAGTGGACGAAGGTGGTAAGGTAAAGTAATTATCAGGAGAAAGAGCTATTCCATTACGACTATATAGAACGTAGGTGGAAGCATGAATAAATTAAGAGATGTGTATTAGCCAGGTCGATGAAGGAGCCTAGTGTGTAGCGGTGCAAATAAACACTCTCAAGCTTCATCAAATGAGGAAACACTCTCCCCTACGTATGGTGATGGCGTGAGGGGTATAAAGTATGGGTGTAGAGAGTGTAATGACGCTACTGGAGGGGCTGTTTATATCCAGAAGGGGCCGTTGAGGTTCTGCAAGTGACTGCTAAAGTATGAGTTGAGCTGTTAGAGCTTGGATGAGACTGTTACGGTCAAGGTGGGGCTTTTAGGGATCGTTGCGGTGCTGTTGAGGTCTGAGACAGGCCCTTAGGGTCCCGTGGAGGGCCGATCAGGTCCAGGAGAAGGTGTTGAGGTCCTGTCATACGATAAACGCAAGGCAGGTTGACGTTTACGTATAAGTTCCTACCCTCCCCTCTCACCCTAAAACATTAAGCTGTTAAGATAATTGCTTTACACACACTCGGTAGACTTTCTCCCGGCAGCGTATTTTCCGCTCTCAGCGCCCCTTGCCCGGCTAGTGTGTTTACGGCACCCCTGTGCCAGCCGCTTAACTTCCGAATTTTCAGAAATATTCTGTTGTTATGCGAAGCTGGTGTGGCAGTTGAAATTTTATGAATATAATTAGGAGTGATGCCTGGTAAGTGTTGGAGTTGAGGTCATTTGATAGGTGGCGTTTTGTTAGTAGCTGAGCCTCTTGTTAGGTGGTGGTTAGGTAGTTGAGGCTCTTGATAGGTGGCTGTTGCTAGCTAATTATGTTGATGAGGGGCTGCTGTTAGACAGTATAACCTCTTGACAGAGGGATACGACAGGAATTAAAGGAATTAGCTTGGTAAATATTTGTTGGTGAACATACTTATATTTCTGTCGCTAGACGAAAGTACAACACTTTTACTGATTTTCTGTGAACTCTGAAATCAAATATTTCTATCAAGTCACTTAGATCAAACAACAATGATCCGAAATGGATGGCCAGATATTTGAAGCTTCTCATTGGTCAGAAAGTAAATGTGCATAAAGTTTTAAGCCAAAATGTAAGAACTTATGTAAAAACATTTGTTAACATATCCAATTATGGAAGGCAGAGCTGAGTACAAAGTAGTGTAGCTCATGATGATCCAAACCCGAAAGGATTCTTCATCTATGTCATTACAAAATTTAGGAAATAACTAGGACACTAATAGTTACTTGATGTCTGTGTTCACAAGAGATACAACTAGGATTGCAGAATGGGAACGGTAAGTGTTAAAAAGAAGGAGAATAAGTTTGTTTTCCCCCAGTGCCTTCCTACCAACACTTGAGTGCATGCTTGTATGTCCATTTACACACACACACACACACACACACACACACACACACACACACACACACACACACACACACACACACACACACTAAAAATATAAGAACTCCAACATTTACAACAGAAAGAAGACAGGAGGAAATAGCCCTGTGAGGTGAGTGTGTCGTTGACCATCGCTCTGTCCTCTGTACCTTAAACCTGCCAAGAAACTCGTGAAACTTTGGTTCGAGAATTCCGAAATACATTTTCCCTATAACCTAAGTGCATGTGCAACTGTTTGCCGCTCCCTGAAAATATAAATGAGTAGTGAAAAAATAGTTTAGCCCAAAATAGTTGCAAAGAGAATGTGGGAGAGAGAACAAATTTGTTTCGTCTTTGTGAAACTCCTCAACACCATCAGCTTTTCATCTTCGAACTCTTTGTGCATGTTGATTGATATGTTTTAATAAGGGAAATTGCATTTTGTATGGCCTAAACGTGTTTGATTTGTTGGTTTATTCACATATAAATATTAATTTGTCAGCATCTGTAAAAACATATTGTCTGTATATTTCAGATTTTCATGTAGTATCTTGTATAGGAAATACCAAACTTTTGTTATTAGCATATATCTATGTTTGTGTATGTAGTTGTACATATATGTTTGCACATATTAAGTGCAAAACACTGAAAAACAAACTAATCATATATCTTGTCAGTATTACATTGTCAAGAATATTCCTCCTAGTGAATATCCTCTTCTTGCTAAAGTAGGTTATAGACACCTGTGGAGACCCTGCGGACAGCTGGGACACCTGTGGAGACCCTGCGGACAGCTAGGACACCTGTGGAGACCCTGTGGACAGCTAGGACACCTGTGGAGACCCTGTGGACAGCTAGGACACCTGTGGAGACCCTGCGGACAGCTGGGACACCTGTGGAGACCCTGCGGACAGCTGGGACACCTGTGGAGACCCTGCGGACAGCTGGGACACCTGTGGAGACCCTGTGGACAGCTAGGACACCTGTGGAGACCCTGCGGACAGCTGGGACACCTGTGGAGACCCTGCGGACAGCTGGGACACCTGTGGAGACCCTGCGGACAGCTGGGACACCTGTGGAGACCCTGCGGACAGCTGGGACACTGGTGGAGACCCTGCGGACAGCTGGGACACCTGTGGAGACCCTGCGGACAGCTGGGACACCTGTGGAGACCCTGCGGACAGCTGGGACACCTGTTAAGACCCTGTGGACAGCTGGGACACCTGTTAAGACCCTGTGGACAGCTGGGACACCTGTTAAGACCCTGTGCACAGCTGGGACACCTGTTAAGACCCTGTGCACAGCTGGGACACCTGTTAAGACCCTGTGCACAGCTGGGACACCTGTTAAGACCCTGTGCACAGCTGGGACACCTGTTAAGACCCTGTGGACAGCTGGGACACCTGTTAAGACCCTGTGCACAGCTGGGACACCTGTTAAGACCCTGTGCACAGCTGGGACACCTGTTAAGACCCTGTGCACAGCTGGGACACCTGTTAAGACCCTGTGCACAGCTGGGACACCTGTTAAGACCCTGTGCACAGCTGGGACACCTGTTAAGACCCTGTGCACAGCTGGGACACTTGCCTAGCTAAGAGAATACTGTAAACACTACTTGGGACCTGGAGCCATGATACATCGACAAAAGTTAACAATTATCAAAAGTAGGCGCCAAGTCGGTAAGATTATGTACTAAACATCGACAAAAGACAGACGAGGTGAGGGAGAGGGAGGAAACGAGGGGATGCGATGAAGGGAGGGAGGGGGGGGGTGTAAATGGAAATTTGTGGGGGAGAGCGAGGGAGAGGGGTGGTAAAACCCGGGTTGAGTCCTAGTGATGATAGCAATAACTCGTTATATGTCATGGTGATTGGAGACACCTTGGGGGGTTGACGGTTCTATTTCTATGTTGCTGCGATGCTGGCCACACATTTGGACCTCCTTCCCCTCATCCAGTAGTGTAGTTACAGCTCATCCTGTAATTACACTCTCGCACTCTCAGCCTCTTACACCCTCACACTCATTCGCACCATCCTCCTCCTCCTCCTTCCTTCCGCCTCTCTCGATAAAACAATAATACTTATTTCTAAAGTTTCCTCCATCCTGTTTAATGGAAGAGACAGCGGCAATAGGAACGGAAATTTATCTTTCCCTCCCGCGGTCAACAATGGAACTCGGAGTTCTCGAAAGTAAAAAAATAAAATCTTAACTTTTTTCAAAAACACAATGATGTTAATTGTATACAATTGTTCCACTGACCTGGGCTCTAGGAGACTCGAACCGTGGCCCCCACGCGTGTGAGGTCGAAACTCTATCGACCGAGCTATTGAGTAGTCTTAATAAGGAAAGTTATTTCCTTATTGTTCATTTCCACGGAAGTGTGGATGACAATTTGTATACAATTGCTTATTGTTAATAATATGTTAAGCATCCTTATACTGGGTCCTTTTGCTCAGTCGGGGCGTTCTCGGCCCACAAGCTAGGCTCCCAGCTTTCAACCCCAGGCCGGGAAAACGACGGTTAGGCATATTACCTTTCACCTGATGCACCTGCTCACCTAGCGGTAGATAAATACCCGAGAGGATGACAACTCAATTCAACCAACTACGACCCATTTACTTTAACGAAAGGGAACAATAGAAGAACAGAAGTGCACTTAAACAGCATGAGGCTTGTATACCCAGGTGCATGGGAAATAGACTTACAAGTCCCAGAAGAAGGTGAAGGAAATGTCAGCACTGTGGAGACTGGCTGACCACTCGAGCATTAACACACGGCAGAGTTACGAAACAAATAAGATTCTACTGGGATTTAACAGTTCAGAAGTTATTTTGGATATAATGTTACTGAACCCAATAAACGAGTCAGAAATACTCATCCACCGCCTTAGTAAGACAAAAATGAGTAACACTTAGTAGGCCAGCTGGGGGCTTATATATATATATATGTGTGTGTGTGTGTGTGTGTGTGTGTGTGTGTGTGTGTGTGTGTGTGTCCCTGCGAAAGAAAACAAATTGAAAAACATTGACACAATCATTATGAGCATCCCAACATCACCCCACTCACAGCTACCATCATTATCTTGATCACTATCGACAATTTACCCCTCCTCGACCTCCCATCTTCTTCCCCCCCCCCTCCCTCCTTCGCCCTTCCCCTACACCTCACGACATCCTATAGCCTACTAGGGTCGCCCTCCCTGGAGTGTGTCGACAAATCCCTATCATGTGTCAACATGTGTCATCCCTTCCCTAAGATCCTAGCTGCCAGTGTGGTGTAACTCGGGTCCTCAACCTATTCGCACCAGTTCTTGATTACATTAACCTGGTTGTTAGTGTAGCTGTTTCGGCGAGTGCCTGCATGTCTGCGAGTGCAGACTCAGTACTCACTTCCCCCTTCAGAGCAGGAGAGATTGCTGAAATACAGAGGGAGTACAGAGAACATATACGGCACGCATAGACGCGATAAAACACCTAAATTATTGGGATCGTCTCAAAGCTCTCCAAATGTACTCACTAGAAAGGAGACGAGAGAAATACCAAATAATATACAGGTGGAAGATACTGGAGGACCAGGTCCCAAATCTACACAGTAAAATAACAACGTACTGGAGTGAACGATAAGGAAGAAAATGCAGAATAGAACCAATGAAGAGGAGGGGTGCCACAGGCGCAATCAGAGAACACTGTATAAACATCAGAGGTCCGCGGCTATTCAACGTCCTACCAGCGAGTATAAGAAATATTGCCGGAACAACCGTGGACATCTTCAAGAGAAAACTAGACTATTTTCTAAAAGAAGTGCCGGACCAACTAGGCTGTGGTGGATATGTGGGCCTGCGGGCCGCTCCAAGCAACAGCCTGGTAGACCAAACTCTCACAAGTCAAGTCTGGCCTCGGGCCGGGCTTATGGAGTAGAACAACTCCCAGAACCCCATCAAGCAGGTATTAAGCATATAAGCAAGAGTGTCAGTTTTGTCTTCGATTATCAAACCTTTTTCTCCTCTCAACTAATTATCTTCATCCCTCACTCTCTTCCCCTTCCAATCCTCCTCTCTCATTCCGTTCCTCTCCCTTCCCCTCCCACACATATATATATGCCATACCTACTCCTGTCACGTTGGTCCTACGTAACTTTCTTTAAATTCTGGTCGAGTCAGGGAGTTCGTACAATTGTCAGCAGGGGCGGAGATATGCCACCATTTGACTTCTTAATCCAGTTGATATTTAGTCAACTCAGGTGTCAGTTGGTGGTAACTTACACTCACGTGTGTGTGTGTGTGTGTGTGTGTGTGTGTGTGTGTGCGTGTGTTTTATTACGTATTATCTTCTGAAGATCCATACTGTTCTAACCAGCTAATTATAACACCTGAATAGGTCGTCGACGCTATAATACCCCAACACAGGTCGTGGACGACCTGTCGCTGTAAAACGGTAATAGTATCCATATTGGCGAGAAAACATATAAAATAACTATTAAACAGGGTCGTTTCCAAGTTTTATTGAAACTGAACTGCTTCATAATAATAGTCTTGAATGCAAACTACCTAATGTAACATAATTGCGTTCAGGGATTCAATCAAAATGAATCTTAAAAGGCGATTGTGCGGAAATGTTCCGACACGTAATTCTCCATTACCGGCAAAGTCCCCAAAATGCGTTTAATCTGGACGAAGGCTTATAATATTTGATGGTCTTCACCCTCCTCGACCCCTTTGGTGTTTGTTGTCACATAAGCTGAACTCTCTTCCCTCCTCGTGGTCGTGCCCCTTCTCTTGACTTAGAGTACGTTAACGTAACGCTTAATACGTCACAACGTACTAAATACAAAGTCATCTCCTAACCAGAAACGTACAAACTTAACCCCACCAGAAACCTATCCTACTCCACCAGACCTATCCTATCGATGCACAGAAAACGCGAAATTTTATGATCCGCTACTGTTCATACTATGTAATTTGTACGTTCGAGACCATAACGTGCAAAATGAGACGTATTAGTTAAGAACGCGGGTTGCCTGGTTAACCCCACCAAGCGAGGAGTTGCGTTACATTGTATTATAGCGTTTTGGTTGAGAACCCGATGAAAGGTTGCACGTAGAGGCACTGCAACATTTCAATAAGGTTTCTGCTTTGCTAATGGAGAGATTCGTTGTTGGTAGATGCTGCGAACGCAGAGGTGTGTCGGTGCAGTGGTAGGGTTCCTAGGAGTCAAAGAACAGGCAGTGTGAAAAACATTGTTAGCGTTGACGCAACAGACGGGTCTATTTTAAGGCAACGGTTGCGTCACTACACAACAGACGGGTCTATTTTAAGGCAACGGGTGCGTCACTACACAACAGACATATCTATATTAAGCAAACAGGTGCGTCACAACAGACACATCTATATATTAAGCAAACAGGTGCGTCACAACAGACACGTCAATATAAACATAACGGTACCTGGGGTTGTCCACTGGAGGAGGTAGCGGGCGTGTCTGTGGGATCGAAGTATCGTTTGTCTTTACGTGATATTGCCCTTAAATCTGATTTCCCCTGAGGCGGAATGATGGTTCAACGCCATTCTTAAGCGATAATTTTATTTGTGTGCGCGCGAATTTGCCTTCCTGTATTTGCGGGGAGTGAGGTACGGCTCTTGGGTCCCGCCTCCTCATCTGTCGGTTACCTGATACAACTATCTCTTCCTTGCAGTATCTGGACCATTGTGACAATCTTTTGGGTTCTTTTATTTTCGAGTGATAAGGAGGATAATGCTAAAAGAATTTTGAAGGATATTACAGGAAATAAACTCTAGAAATGGTCGACAAATGGCTGTTGGAATTAAATCGTAGGAAATGCAATGTAATGAAGATAGATGGAAAAAGAAACGAGGCCAGAAGATCAATACAGCATGATAATGATATGCACAAGCATGCTTCAAAGACAGAAGGGACCAGGATTTGTTTTTCTCGTAAAATCACTTTAATTGCTTAGTTCTTATACATGCCATCTTGTCAATTTCTGAGTAACGATTCACCCACGAGTTCCATTTGTATGTTGTATACAGTGTATAGCGTTCATACTAATTTATTACTTAGGTTCCTAAAGGCCTTTTGTATTTTTTTTTCAAATTATGAGTATGTCGCAAAGTCCTCGTGTTAACACATTTTAGTCCTTGTCTGTCTGTGAAGTATGTCGGGGTTTCCTCCTTATTCTCTTTTGACATTCTTATTGCATAAATGTTCTTCCATCTATTCTGTGAATTTATTGCGATTGAATTCAAGTAGTCATTTGTTGATCATTCTTGAAGCCTCTATATTTCTTGCAATGTCCTTCATTTCTCTTTTACCTTTATCCTATTCTGTTTTTATCCTCTTCTATTCCTATCCTGTTCTTCAGCATTGATTGCATTCCCCCAACGCCTCCAACGTCTTTAATGCGCTCCAACACACACACACCAAAACACTGGGAGCCATCTCCATCCACAACTTTCAGGCAGGATTCGACAAAGAATTTGAACGTCAGAATAGTTAAATTGTAACGCAATAGGTACATCAGGATAATACGCGGGGCGTAAGAGGCTAGACCTCGCTTTCCCCTGATAATTCCCTC